GTTTTGTGGAGTGTGGTATATGAATATACAAGTAATACTGATTTCCTTGACTTTGACTAAGCAAAAAAGCAAGAACTTCTGAACCTTTCTGTCTCTTTCTCTTTTCAGAGAGGAAATGCTATGTTTTTACCCAGTGCCACAAACTATTTATTTGACATTCATTTGTCTTAGTGCCAGGAGTGCCAATTCTCAGTGTATACAGTGATAGTATAAATCAGGGGTCCCCAACCTCCACTCCGTGGACCAGTACTAGGCCCCAGCATGCCAGCAATCGGTCGGCACAAACAAGCAAAGCCCCATCTGCGGGATAGCACACAAAACCACACCCTCTGGTCCGTGGAAAAACCTCTCTCCACGGAACCGGTCCCTGGTGCCCAAAAGGTTGGGGACCTCTGGTATAAATAGATATTTCTTCAGAATTTCTTTCAAAATGCAATACAGTCATATAGTAACAATAAACCTTTTAATATTTCTAAAGAACCACATTTGATTAATATGTGAAAACAGCCTTAGGACACTGCTGCTGCTTTTAGAGAGGAAGGAAGAAGCCGTAGCTTGCAGCTCTGCAGATAAATTGGTTTCCTGATCTGTGAGGAACTGCTTGTTCCATGCTGCACTCTTTGTCTGATAGAAATATCATGGCTGGAAAATTTTACTAAAACATCAAATTCATTCACTAAAGACTTGTATGAGTATTGTGCAAAAGCAAGGGCAAGAGTAGCTATGGTAATCCTGACATTGTTGAGCTATAAATCCCAGCATTCCTTGGAAGCATGGCTTGCGGTGAGGGATACTCGGAAATGGTAGTCTAACATTTAACACCATACAAACAGCAGTGAGTAAAGGAATGCCAGAGATTGCCTGCCTTTATACTAAGCTTGATTTCGGCATAGCATACTTGGTGAACCCAACATTTGTGGTTTATTTAACCAAGCAATCAATGATTCTGCTTAGCCTTTTACCCACTCACTCACTCACTCGTACTGAAATATTTCTGAGCTAGATGTTTCATAGCCTTCATTCCACACACCTGCACAACTCCTGGATTTTCTTTCTCATTTTGGAAGAATGTGGACCAAGGCACTCCTTTTGTCACTGCTCTTTATACAGTGTCAACAAACAAAGCTAAAGGATCTGTGGTCTTTGTATACAGAATTATGAAACAAAAAGAAAACAGTTTAGACTGCAGGATGTAAAAGAGGATGGGATACATGTGCTCTCTCTCCTTATTTGGCTTGTTTTGCTGGAAAGATTCTAGGCTGAGCAAGCCATCGGTTTAACTTCTGTGGTTGCTGTTTGACAGGGATCTACTTAAAGGGCCTTTAATGCATTATGTAGCTGCTCCTTAATGCTTGTCCTACACCAGGGGTCTTCAAACTTGGCCCTTTTATGACTGCGGACTTCAACTCTCAGAATACCTCAGCCAGTGTGCCAGGCCGAGGAAAGGACCAAGTTTGAAGACCCCTGACCCCTCCCTACCTTCCCCAAAGTCTCCTGTCATGCACAGCTGGCCTCAGGACTGTGTTTCTTTCATTTGAGGCCAGAAACAGTGAGGAAGTGTTCTTGATTGCCCTTATCCTAGTGCCTAATGGAAGGAGGGTGGCTTATTTATATGCTTTATTGTCTTAAAATGTTGTTGATTGTGTTATGAAGTTGTGTAAGAAAGAATACAGAAATAAAATCTCCCTTCAGGCAAAGAGGGGTTAGGAAAACAAACTAGAAAAACTACTAATTCTCTTCCTCACCCTTGACCTCCAGGCAGGACCAGAAGGCATATAGGGGGAAGGAATGGAACACAGCACAAGTGAGGGCTTGAAGTGGGGAGAAAATGTTCTACTAAACCTGCAGTTGGCCCTAAAATCAACACCATGGTATCCATTTTTTTATAGCTGTCTTTTGAATTCCTCTTTTGCCTTGAATTTCCTTTGATTGATTTTGTGCCATCAAATAATATTTTTGCTCCTAGCAATCACATAGATAGATTTTCTCCATGACAATCTGTCCCTAACCTGGCCTTTCAGGTCTTCCAACAGTGCATTCATCACCACTGAAACTAACTTCACCTATCTTGCTGCTGATCGTCCTCTTTCCTTCTATCTTTTCCAACATTAGAGCCTTCTTCAGAGAGCTACATCTTCCTATAGGATTTATATAGAAATGCACCAATCCAGAGATTGGCATCTTGGGAATATTGGCTTTCATTAACAATACAAATGTATTGACTTATTTATTAAATAGCATACCTCATCACTGATAGAGTGGGACTTGAAAAACTACTGGTAAATTCAAAGAACAAACACCTGAGGTACTTTTGGGCTTCACGAAGCTAGGCGAATGTGATGGTTCTGAGATCTCTCCAGCTTTTTCCTCCCTATTCTGTGGTTCAGAACTCACTTCTCATCATGTTTTTGCAATATAAATGTGTGTTTGTGTGCCTGCTGAAAGCCAGACTGATGACAGACATCTTTGGATGGCTGTGTGTACAGTTTCCTTGTTATACAGAAACGTCATAAAGATGAGTTTTGAGATGAAATAATTTTCCTTATAGCACGTCTGCATTTGATGTCCTCTTTGATGTCAGTAGGGAATGCAGTGGAACAGATACTGCTTTTGTGTTGGTTGATCCTGAGACGTGCTTAGTGATTGCCCCAGCAACCCTTCAGAGCAGCTGTTTGCTAACAAGCGACACCGTAATAGCTTCCTTTTCTAAGGCAGAGAAACTAGGTGTTAACTGGGGTATTTATTTTTCACTTTGCAAATGGCATTGCGCCTTAGGTTTTTCCTGCAAGGGGTCTCTGTTATTAAAACTGATTAAGCACACCAGATTGTAACACACTTACTGACAAGAGATTCATTTTGGAAAGCTTATAGATTCATATAATTGTTGATAAATTTTGTACATTAACCATGACTTTCTTAAAAATGGTCATTAATTGTATACATTTCTGAAATGCGTCTATGGCAGGGGTAGGCAACCCAAAACACTCAAAGAGCCACTTGGACCTGTTTCCCACCAAAAACAAAACACCGGGAGCCGCAAAACCCTTTTGATATCTAAAATGAAGATAACACTGCATATATCCTTTTTTACCTTTATTATAGGTGTGTGTGTGTGTGTGTGTGTGTGTGTGTGTGTGCGCACACACACACACACACATTAAAAATAAAAGTAAAAATATGACTCTTGGGAATATCCATACTATTAAAACAATGATCACCAAGAGAATGCTTTAAGAGAATAAAATTACATACACACATAGGTAAAAAAAGGATATATGCAGTGTTATCTTCATTTTAGATGTCAAAAGGGTCTCTCTCTCTCTGTCTCTCTCCCTCTCTATATGCCCTTGGTCTGCCACTCCTCTTCCCCCACTCTCTTTCTTTCTCTCTCTCTTTCCCCCCCCCTCTCTCTCTCCCCCTCCCCCCCTCTCTCTTTCTCTCTCTCTCTTTCTCCCTCCCCTCCTATCTGCTGCTCACCTGGCAAGCTTCAAGCTGTTGTCCAACAAGCTCAGGGGTAAGCAACCTCGTCTCTTTTATGACTCATGGACTTCAACTCCCAGAATTCCTGAGTCAGCCTAGCTGGTCTAGCTAGCTCTCTCCTGCCCTTCCTGCTTCCTGCAGAGATGCAGCAAAGGGAGGAGCTCCGCCCAGTAAGCTTTTCAGCTCCTCGGAGAACACTGTGAGTGCACTCTGTTTTACACACACACACGCACACAAACACACACACACACACACACAGAGAGAGAGAGAGAAGCAGGAAAGTGTAATTGCCTTTCTCTGTCTCCGTCTCTCTCTGCAAAGGCAGAGGAAGCTGGAAGCCACAGGGGAAGGCTCAAAGAGCCGCATGCGGCTCCAGAGCCGCAGGTTGCCGACCTGTGGTCTATGGGAAGTTTATTATTTAACCCTTCCAATTACAGTTTGCGATCCTATTTCCTGTGTGTGGATAGGAGAACAGATGTTTTATTTAAATAATGATTTTCTGCATAGTAGTGTCGTATTTTGGAAAGAAGGATTATAACTAAAAGTGGTGGAAAGATGAAAATAATTTCTGACAGGTGAGCCACAAATTGGTGTATTTAGTACTGCAGTTATTTTAATTACACCAATGATATTGGTGACATTGTAGTTTTCCTATTATAGCATTTGTGCTCTCAATGAAATGAGATCAATGTGTATCAAGTTCTCATCTGGGCATGCCAATCTTTGGTGAAATGTATTAAGAACATTTGGGAGAATTACATCATCCAACCAAAGTAATCCAATCCATTTTTTTTTTTTTTTGTATGAAAAGTAATGCTATCTGCTTTCTTCAATAATTGCACTGTAAGTGGTTATTGGTTTTGTGGGTATGGATGCTTTGTTGTTGTTTAAATTTGGTAGCAATGGAAACCTTACCAGCTACCATACTTTCAGGGTCATAAAAACTATCCTTGAAGGATCCACATCAGAAAGGCAGAGGACAAATGCGGGCAGCTCTAGTTCTGATTTCTATATAAATGTTTTTCCTCAGCAACCTGCCCAGCCTGGAGTGGGGGGATGTCAAAGGCTTCTGCGTGGGACATCTACAGCAAAATATGTCTGTCACAGGAGTAAAATCAGAGGGGTTTTTCCTGCCCATCTTCATCCCATTTTCCAGCCATCCTCTCAGCCTGTCTGGACTGCACAGCAGGATATGCTGTACATTTAATAAACTGTCACTTGAGCCCACCTTGCTTTTGGAAGCCAACGGACTGCTAAATTTGGGATATTATGTTTGCCCCAGCCAAGTATCAAGTTCTCTGGATCACATGTGCTTCCAGCTGGCATTTAACTCTGGAACCTCTGTGAAAGTGAAATGCATACTTCCCCAGACAGCCTTGATTAGAACTAGGGAAGTCTGCTCCTTTTTTTCCATTGTACTAGTCTTTTACTCTCCGGTTTCTCTCGGTTTTCTTTTCTTTTCTGTTTTTGGGGAATAACTGGGATTCAGATTCTGATCAGCATGTTTCTGATTCTTTTAGCCACTACGGAATTAAAGGACTTTTTTGCAAAGGCTCGGAATGGTTCAATCCGTCTCATCAAAATCGTAATTGAGGATGGTAAGTTTTCATTTCCTTGACATTTTCAACCAGATTGTTTAAGCTGTTCTGCACTTTCCCAGCATCAATTTTTATGGAGTACAGTGGTGGGCTTTGTGCATTCAACCTTTCAGTGAGCAATTCTGGTGGAAGCTGCTGTAATATTCAGGACCAACAAGTGTGATGCCAGGTAACAAGTGTGGAATCAACATAGCTGTACATTCAAAAAAGCAAATAATGTTGTTAGTTGTTCCTCCTCTTGGCTTCTTTTCCAACAATTCTCCTTGAGGTACATTGTGCATTCATGTTTTCAATAATTATTCCCATGAGAATCCTGGGAAAAATAAACAGAAACTCAGTAGCTGGAATAAAGGTGTTGTTGTCTGGCCAAGACACGAAAACTTGTTTTCTAATGTGATGGTTTTTCAGTAAAGCAGTTCTGTCCCAGATGTCACTTTTTAAATTACCTTCGAAGTGTATGTCTTTTGGTGCAAAGTTCAGTAAGAACTCCCGCACAGTTTGTCAGCATTGCCTTAGTTGTAATATTGTCCAAGAGTGGATCCTATTAAGTTCAATATGCTTAAACCAGATTAGCAGATATAGGAATGTTCAGGTTTATGAAATGGTTTTGTTTGTTTTTATCTGTTTAGATTTTTTTTTCCTGTTAACTCCTTTTAGCAAAAGCCTGTGGGTTACATTCAGCTCTCCGTACCCCTTTAGTAGAGGAGTAGACAAAGCCAACATTTGGGAATTGATGTTTGGGGTGGAATGGAAATATGTTTTAAAGGGCAGAATTGCTATCTGAAGCTTTGTAGGCACCAAGACATTCACTTCATACTTTAAAATCTTCAAATTCTGAATCCCTGGGGTTTCTCCTAATTGAGAACATAATTCTGCAAAGGTGATAACACACCTTTCACTCCTTAAAACTCATATCAATTTCTTATAACCCCAGAAACTAGGTCCTGCCTACTCTGGTGATCTTCTGAGGTTAATGGTTCTGCCACCTGTATCTCCTGTCTTGAGCTCAAAGTTAAAATGGAAAGAAAATAGCCCATCTAAAGATCTGAGCTGAGCCCCACTGAACAAAGAGCACCCATGTAGTGTAAAAAAAGCTACTGATCTGTCTAAAAGTGATTACCCAGTAATACCTATTACGCTTTGACTGTTGGCTCTTTAATATTGGATTACCAAGCCAAATGTAACCGTGTAGGGGAGAAGAGTAAAGTGTTTCTCAACCTGGACAACTTAAAAAGGGATGGACTGCAATTCCCAGATTTCCCTAGCCAGTATGCTAGGGGAACTCCAGTTCTGATTCCTATGTAAATATTTTTCCTCAGCAACCTGCCCAGCCTGGGGTGGGGGGTTGTCAAAGGCTTCTGTGTGGGACATCTGCAGCAAAATATACTTGCTAACGTTTGTTCATTTTATGAAGGAGCCTCCATTCATGTAACAGCCCCTCCCAATTTTAATAATCCAAACATTAAATTTTCTCCATGAGAAGCACACTTTTGTTTTTCCAAATTGTTTATAGTCTTGTTTACTGGAGATGAGTTACATCCTGATGGAATGCCATCCCTATATCACCTTTCAAATGTTCATCTTCCATCCTGCCCTAATATGTTTATTCTGTTGCAGTGGATAGATGATGAGTCAGGAAGGTAAAAATTTATTCATGACTATAGGCTATCCTAGTATTTTTCAAATAGTAGTCTAGATCTGTATACACTAGAATTCTTATTATCTAAATTGCTTGAACATTCAGATTATTATGACAGTCTCATTAGATTCCTATGTAAATTTCACTACAGGTAGTCCTTGACTTATGACAACAATTAAGCCCAGAATTATGGTTGTAAGTCATGGTGATCATTAAGCAAGGTGCCCATGTGATCGCCTCATTTAATGACCACCATCCCGGCTCTCCCCATTGCAGTCATTAAGCAGAGCACAGGGTACCTTGGGCTGGGAGGCTGGTGCAGACTGTACTGCAGCACTTCCCTAGCTTACACATGAGCTGGCTTGGGTTTCCCAGGGCCTCCTCCACCCCTTGAGGCAACTTTTGCACAGGTATCTGCTCCACTGGTTTCATATCAAGCACCTGAATGTTGTTTATGTAACCAGAGGGCAGTGCAGCAGCTGTAACTTAAGGTAAAGGTTGTAATTTCCTTCATGCAGCGCTATTATAATTTCAAATGGTTGCTGAACAAATGGTTGTAAGTCAAGGACTACCTGTATTCTATATTTATCCTTTTGATTTAAGTTGTTTCTCTACATACACAGACACATTCATTAGATTCATGGTTTTTTTTTCCATTTTTAAATTTAAATTACATTCTTTTGCATTCTTTTACATCTATTTGGCAGTTTATGTGGAGACAAATCCTTACATATTTTAGGTTATTTCCAATATGCATGTTATTGCATGCAATTCTATTTGTAGAACTGCAGTATACTTTTGCAAGTTATTTTAATATGCAGTTTTGTATGTTACTTTAATTAATACCCTTAGTGTTTGTACAGTATACCCTTCCCTAATACATATTTTAAGGCATGATATCAAAAGGTGATTATGTTTCAGTTTACCCATGTATTCAAGAAAGACAGATTAAATCAGTCCCCAGTTTCTTTTCCACCCTTACTGTAAAACTCTTTGAGTTTCCCCATTGGCTTAGGAATGATGACAGTTTGTCAGTTTATTTAAAGTAGAAGTGTTTTAGATGTTTCTCCACTTAGCTTACCAGCCCTCTAAAAATAGGCAAAGTCTCATACTCCTTCCTGGAACAAGATTTTCCAAAGAATGCAGGAGAACTTTCATCCACTATTAAGTAGGGAAAATCTAGGCAGTGCTTCTGTTGAATACTCTTTAGAAGGTTTAGATCTTATCTAAAGCTCAGATGGAACATGACCTTCCCTTCCATGTCACTGATGTTATTGTTGGCTATCTAGAACAAGTAGATGCATTTCTATGAATGCAAGCTAGGAAGCTTTCTTAATCATTAGTGGAAGAGGTATTTATATCTGTGTGACGTGCCACTCTAAAACCTGAGGGCTTATGGGGTACTGACGTAAAAGGAATTTAAATAATGAGTCTAATATCTATATTTGGTGAACAGATAGTATGAGGGCAATGTAGATAGAGGACAAATACTGAGATAATGGAACAGAGGACAAACCTTAAGAAGTGCTAGCCATAGCCAACTTAGCGTGAGCTCAGAAGCTAAACTGGGTTAGAAACTGCCTGGAAATCCTTAGGTGAGATTAGCACGTTGAAAAAAAAAAATTCAGAAGAAAGCAATATCAAATGGCAATACCAAGAAAACTTACATCACCAAAAGTCAATCTTGAGTTGAGGGGGTCTTTACCATTTTTAAGGGGGACAGACACATAAATGAAGAACTCTGTTTTAGAGATTCTTAATAATGTGGAAGGAAGGTGACCAAAAAAGTTATTTAAGGAAGTTGCCCACTTGTTTTAATTGAACAGACTAGAAATCTGCTGTTGCTATTATAACACAAATGCTGTTTTAACATGAATTATTTTAATGACTTTAAGAAAAGTATATCTTAATTTTTTTTAGTTGCCTTGAAAGTATGTGCAGCAATTATATTCTTTGGAGCTGATTTTTGCCTCATGCTAGCTTTCAAACAACTTTCCCCGTGTGGAATGCATGTATGCAGATGCTTTTGAGGTGTTCCAAGCTAATTGTGTGATTATCAGTGGGACTTGCGCTTATGACTCCATGTCTTTTGTGTGTTTGCTGTAAGAGGAGGGTTGATGTATGTACTGACATAAAAGCATGGGAGGGTCTCTCATTTGTGGGGAGAACCTAGTAGTAGAGACAGAGATCACTCAGAGCACCCCTTCACTTCCCTGGGCGTTATTTTGATGAATGGGAGAAATTCTGAATTTCCTTTGCTGTTGATGAAAACTGACATCTTTTAGTGCAAACTACACCCCATCCAATGGGCATTTATTTTTATAGTATAATAAGGATAGAAAATTTTTCAATTTTGCTTTTGTTTTAATCAATGGAAGTTTTTAAGAAGAGACTGGACAGCGATTTGTCCGAAATGGTATAGGGTTTCCTGCCTGAACAGATGACCTTAGATGGACTAGATCAGTGGTTCTCAACCTTTCTAATGCCGCGACCCCATAATACAGTTCCCCATGTTGTGGTGACCCCCAACCACTTATACATCACCGGGTGCCAGGGGCGTGGCCAAAGAAAAGGGGGAAAAATGGCGGACAGCCTTGTTTGGCGACCCCCGTGAAATGGTCATTCGACCCCAAATGGGGTCCCGACCCACAGGTTGAGAACCACTGGACTAGATGACCTCCAACATCCCTTCCAACATTATTATTGTTGTTGTTGTTGTTGCTGTTGTCCCATGACATATCTATACCAGAAGCTTTCTCTTTGCCATCATCAATTTACTATCCATTTACAAATCATCATCAAGCCACTTAAGAACTTAAATGTTTCTCTGCCTCTGCTTTGGTTGTTTTTTGATTGGATAGAAAGAATTCTACAGAAAAGAACAATTCCTGGCTCTGAGAAACATCAAAAATCCATCTGACAGGCATTAAAAATATGACAGCTGACTCCTGAACAATACAACAACAGGTTCAAATTGATTTCCATCCTTGGCTTACAGAGTGTTCAAGGAATTCAGAGTCATTTCAGCAGTCCCTGGTAATTGTATCAGTAATGCGAGCTGCTCCAGGAAAATTATTTCTATGGAATGTACTTTTATTGGCTATTAAGGGGGGAGGTATAATATTTTCCCAGCTTTCAATTGGCTAAATTGGGGTTTATAAAACAGTGTCTTGTGGAACTTGATGTTATTGAGAGGTGTGGGGGAGAGGGAGAGAGAGGGGGGGTTACTTGCAGGGAGTGTATAGAAATTTTTCTAAGGAGAGGTAACATTCCATTCTCCTGGGAGAGGTAGGATGATATGCTCTTGAAAATCTATCACTTTGTCTCTTGATCAAGGGTTCTAAGGGTTTTTCTTTCAACT